AAGATGTAATTTAACCATGCAAGATGTAATTTAACCATGCAAGATGTAATTTAACCATGCAAGATGTAATTTAACCATGCAAGATGTAATTTAACCATGCAAGATGTAATTTAACCATTCAAGATGTAATTTCATTTTCAAATAGATTTATCACTCAAATTTAGAGAGTGAAATTTATGAAAAAGATTCTAAAAGAAATATAAAATAATTAAAACAAAATTTAAATTTGAGCTCGTACATGATATTTTTAAATTTAAAATTACGTTATTACTTCCAGATTACAGACAAAGCTTGTACCGAAACTAACACCTGAACACCAATGCACAAGGGTACCTAGAGAAATATGCACTTTAAGGTATGTCTTCAAAATATAAAAGGTTTTTCTAGAAAATATTAGCTTTTAAATATAGTGTTCAGCCACTTAAAAAAATTCTAGTTTTTCCCAAATTATTAATTAATTATCTAGATAATTTCAAATTTCATACAAAAAATTGGTTGGCCAATCGGTTCAGCCGTTTTGACGTTTTTTGATACAAACAAAGAAGCCAAATGTTGGCTTAAAACAAACTTCCCCTCAACTTGTAAATACAGGGTGTCCCAATAAACAATAATCGAAAGACGACTTTGAAATTGTCTTTGATTTCGAAAATATGGTCTGACAGTTTCGTATTGCGATTGAAATTAAAGGAGAAGATAATTTTTTCTTCTGAAATTACATTTTAAGATGAAAAAGAAATTGTCTAATTTTTCAATATCAAATGTTATAAGATGAAAAGACTGTATTTTGGAAAACCTGAAAGAACTAGATTCTAACCGATGGAAGCCTGTATTCTGCCTGTACATAATATTTTGATAATTCATATAATAGTTTCCTATGACCATAATATTTCATTGATTTTTTTTTATGTGAAAGATGGATCCCATGTCAGGCTGTAACATCCGTCTTGCGTTTACATTACCGCCCAGAGACAGTACACTGCAGTACAAAAGATGCATACACCTCTGAAATAACTTTCCTTGCCTTACATCCTTGTATGATATATTCTTCATTATCTCTTTGTTTGTAGAGACATTTTACACAATTCCTGCTTCAGAAACAATGGAGAAAATTGTCAGCATTAAACACCCTTCTATTTACATTGTTAATTAGATAAAACTAAATCATTAATTTTACTCCGATTAAACGCATCACTTGAAATCCCAACCACAGTCCTTTCTAGTCTCCTCTTAACCATCATGTCATCTTCAATATATAGACATATATATATTTAAATTTATACATTAATAAATATATAAATTTATACATGTATAAATTTATAATATTTGTCTGTTTGTTTGTCTGTTTGTTTGTGTATTTGTCGATTTGTCTCATTTTTTGCAACTCACTCAAATTTCCTAATCTCTATATCATTGCAATCTCATGGTGAAAAGCTTCGATATTTCAAACATAAATTAGCTGATCTATCAGCATTTATATTTTGAAATATCAAAGATCTACAACATTAGGTTTAAGGGAAAATAAGAGTTTGTTGCAAAAACTCCGTTCCTTTTGATCAGAACGATGAGAATGTGCTAAGCTTGGTTGGCCAATTCTAGGTTGAGATTGTCGATTTTTAGTGAGAAAGTTTACAGTTCCAGGCATTGCTGGGTTTCTAAGCTAGTATTTATATAGATATGAATATATTTATAAATATTTATTGTATATATATATATTCAGATTTACTACTCCTCAACAAGCTCACTGTAATTTTAGGATTTAGATGATCAAGATTTGATTTGAACAGTGAATTAACCCCCCCCCCAATTACTTAGGCATTGGAGTTCATAATGAAAATAAATCTATAATTATAGCAAAAAGCATATCTAAAAAACCACCAAAACTAAAAACATTCTATTTTTTTGAATTTGCGTTTTCATTCGACTATATTTTTTTTCTGCTAAATCAATAATCCTATAAAGCTATCTTGTATCTAGGAGAACTGAATATAACTCTATAATCCTATGAAGATATCTTGTATCTAGAAGAACTGCAAAATAAATCTATAATCCTATAAAGATATCTTGTACTGAATATAAATCTATAATCCTATAAAGATATCTTGTATCTAGGAGAACTGTATGATGAATCCAATGCTCTGGCTTCTCCTCTACCTCTTGAAGTAGAGAGAACTATTCAGGACGTAGGACGCTTTGTGCAGCGCAACCGACTTAGTTTTGATCTGAATACAGAGAAAACTTTCCAGGATCTAGGACAATCAATCTCCTCACAGCGAGCCTTTGAGAAGCTGGGACAAAACGTTCAATCTCTGAAAATTCAAGACTCCGGAGATATCCAATATTTGAACGAAATCTCTGATCCAACCCTGAAAGCTGAACCTCAGTTAATTCTTCACAAAACTGAGATTATCTCTAGAGAATCGGAGCAACTAGTTCGTGAGCCCCACCAGATTATCAATCAAGAAACCTTCCAGCTTTTAGAGCCAGAGATACGCGACCTACCCGAGGAGCTGACTCCAGAGCTGGAATTTGAGGAACTCGATCCAGAGCTGAGGAACCCTGGTGTGAACCCACTGGAGACAGAAAACCTGAAACCAGAACTGAGAACTCAGGAAATCGAACTGATAAATCAGGCAGATGAGCTGATAACAGAGCAACCCGAGCTGATAACAGAGAACCCCGAGCAGATAGAGCTGATAAGTGATAATGAGAAGCTGTTAACCCTAGGGATGCAGGAGAACAACCGAAACCCGGAGGAGCAGGTTTCAACAAACCCAGAAAACCAGGTTTCACAGAACCCGGAGCAGATCAAACAGGATGAATTATTACAGCATAAAATGGATTTGATCCTGGAGGCTGAGGAGCTAAACAGAGAACTAAAAGCACTGCGGCTAGAAGCTCTTGCTATGGATAAGTCTGAACTAAAGAATTTAGATCTGGATATAGACCTAGAAAAAAGTCTGCTTAATCAGGATACAAGTTTTTTCAACCCGGATACAGATAAACTAAACCCGGATACAGATCTACTAAACTTGGGCACGGTTCTACTAAACCCGGATACAAATCTACTTAAGGAAGATGAGCTGAATTCAAGGTAAGGTTTTATTCTTGTTAATCTCTTCCACCCAGCCTTCAACAACCCTTCACGTCCAGGACGGATATCATGGTCAAAAAGATTTACTCAGGGGAACCCATAACCATGGTTTAAGTTGTAACATTAGTTTATTTGTATCACTAGAACAGTTTGAAGTTTTTAAACTGGCCGAGGGGGTGGTGTACCCCCCCCCAGACTTGGTTTTTGAAGAATGTGAATTAAAAGGTCGAAAATAGGGGGGAAATGGGACAAGTAAAATTTGTTGTCTCGGAAAGATTAATAGTACAGTATATCAGAAAATGACAAAATATCCACCCCCCCCCCCTTAAAAAAATACACCAGTTACGCCTTTCTTTATCTATGGTTTAATATGGCTCCGACAGAATATATTTTTTTCATGAAGAAATTATTCAGATTGTAATGCATGCCTTAGAAATATAATACTGGTTACTTTCTCATCCGATAAAAGCCCAATATTTATGATTTTCGTTGATTTATGTTGATCTAACGCTGATATTATAGTTTTTGCATCGTCATCAAACTAAGTATAAATTCCGGGTTAAAAGTTTACGCTCATGAAATACTTAAAAATGAGTTTAAAGAGTCATTCTTTTTTAATTGGTTGAGAAGCAAGATTTTAAACTAGGCATTAACACTAGGAAGATGAAGGAAGTGAGTTTTTGCCACAAACTCAAATTTTCTAATCCCTATATCTTTGCAAATTAATGGTGTAAACCTTTAATATTTTAAACTTGGATTATATGATCTATAATAGATTTCAATGTATTTGAAATATCAAAGGTCTCCTAAATCGGATTCCCCAGATATAGAGATTGGAAAATTTGTGTTTGTGACAAAGACTCAATTCCTTTCTAGTGTTTGAATATTTTAAATATATTTAACACAAAAAGAATTGTTTTTTTTTATCAAATATTAATTTAATCTATTTGTATAGTTCCCTGTCAATTCTGTCTTCAAGCGACGATGAGGATTTTCTGACAAACTTCAAAACTCAAGAGTTTGCGGATTTTGTTGATTTCAGCCATCTTTGAATATCTCTAGTCATTGTTACACATCTAGTCACTTCGCTCTAGTTATAGTCTTTTTTGTTATAGTTGTACTTTTAGTTTTTGTTAGTTATTTAATAAAAGAAGTAGTTTATAAATGTCCAAATTATTTTTGTCGGAGATAGTTACGTTGTTGAGTGTTATTGGATTAAATAATATAAAATGTCATCTTCACATTCTTCACAAGATCCTTCATTCATCCTGACTAACTAGGAAGGTATAGAGTACAGGGGGTCTCGGTAAAAATGTTATTTCTTAGCTCTAGCCTCTATACTTATCAATACCAAGAATATTTAGAAACATTTTTAATCGTTATAATCTTTTCTCTTTCACATGAAAAGGAGAAATTACGTAGATTGAGATAAAACAGCAAATAGATAAAAATAAAAATTCGAATGAAATCAATCATATCGCAGAGAATGGAGACGAAGATGTACACAACCGACCTCCCTATTAATTAATTAATAGAGTGGTCGGTTGTGTACATCACAATATGTTTACGTATCTAACACTGTACACTTGTATATGGGGTGATCAATGATCATATTTCTATGGGGGATTTTATGGAATTGATAATTTTGTAGATTTTCGCTCTTTATGTGAAAAGAAATTATTCTAGGGGGGGGGGGGGGGGCAAGAAAACTGACCTTACTAACAGGATATTTAATTAGTTAATACATCTGATATGATATAAAAAGAAATATATTCGGGATAAAGGAAAGTTGCGGAACAGGGCATTGGCTTCTCCCTCCCCCCCATCCCCCTACATTACATTTTTCTTCAAACTTGGATTTTCCCCTGACTAACATCTCCTCCTTTAAAATGGTTTGACCAAATGCAACTTGAGGGATATATGGTGGAGTCTCCCAACCTTAAAAGGACTAGCCCTGCACAGTGTTTTCATATTTTGCAAAAACTCACATTTTTACAAAAAGAATTGTTTGTGCATTTTTTCACGATGCAATATTTGGTCATACTTTTATAAAATAAACAAGCAATTCTGAACTGGAATGTACAGCAGTGTTTACCATCCATATTAAGTGTCTATCTAATTATCTATACGAATATTCAATTGTCTACATTTTACAACCCCCCAAGAAATACGATCACTCTATATACAAGTGTACAGTGTTAGATACGTAAACATATCGTGATGTAAACAACCGATCACTCATTAATTAATATGGAAGTCGGTTGTGTACATCTGAGCTAAGCTTTACCTCTTCGTTTTCTTTCTCTGTGAATCATATCAAATCCAATCAAAGCTAATCAAATCATTTATTTCAGCAGAAAAATCTATATGAAAATGAATTAAATCGTTACAAATCATAATATATACATAATCATATTTACTATTGTGTACGCACTATGTACACATGGCATCACAGTCGCATTTTCTGTAATGTTGATTTGATTCAAACTTACGCAATGTCTGATTATGTAATAATATTTAAATATATTAGATTTGCCCTTAACAAACACTTAAAAGTTTAAACAAGGACTACTCAGTATTCTAAATTGTCTATGCAATTTAATTTGTCAGATGAAATGCAATTTGATATAACAGTTTTTATTTCTCTACTTCTTTTAAGGGGAGAACTTCATACGCCATTTTGTAAATTAAATAATTTACGTTGATAAAAAAGTTATTGTTTGATATTGTACACGGCAATATTGAAATATCAAATTATGAATTATTAGTTGATATCTAACAAATTATTATTTATATGAGTTGATAAGCATAAGCTTACTTTCAACTTAAAGAGGAAAATTTTCAGATTCACAACGATACCCTTAAAAAATTTAAATAATATGGAAAATATCGTCATTTTCCAAGCTTGAAAAGTGTTTAATTCTGACTTTTTTCCTTATTTTTCTGAATGAGCAGGTCACTTTATAAAGAAACTACAATCGACAATAATTAATTTGCTATTCGAAATTTTTTGATATATCATATCAGAAAGTTTTTGAGAGTACTATTTTGAATCAGTCATGCCAATCAATGACTGGTCACTTGAAAAGATTTATACACTTTATTTATTTATTTCATTTTTAAATCCGTGCCGGGGTTCAGGGATATTTTATAAAATACTAGGCTTTTAGGGCGCTTCACACCCATCTTCTATTTTAACTTTTAATTGTGGCTTTCTCTTTGTACAATGAGACAAAACAAAACAAGAAAGGTCGCGGATTTCATAATATTTTTTCGCGCATTTTCCAACTTTTTACGAAAATGAAAATTTTTTTGAACACGAATTTTTAAATTTTGATCATTCATAATCCTTCCCTGGGGTCACGTAAGGTTCCGCACAAAATTTGGGCCCGTTTGACGTTTATCGGATACAAACAAAGAGACACCTATACAGACAGACAAGCTAAATTTATATACAGATTTAGTTTTTAAGAGTACACAACTTTAAGCTGTGTAGGCGTAGGAGAGGGGGGGGGGCGATTTTGCTTGGTTTGTTGTTTTTCCAATTTTCTATTGATACCGTACTCCATACAGTTTGTATCTCCATAATTGAAGATTTTTATCAATCATAAAATCTCTTCAAGTGGAAACTTTGCTTTGCCAGCAAAACATGCAAAGTCATTCGTTTAAATTTCAACATTTTACATTTACGTGTCGTCTTTAAATAATACATGCACAGATTACTTTTAATACACTGTAATTTTAGGATTTAGATGATCAAGATTTGATTTGAACAGTGAATTAAGATTAAACACAGTTGTAATTAATTTGATGGGTGATCCATATCATATAGGAGTTGATAAAGGGTGGTTTATATAAAATGAGAATTGATACGTACAGAGTGATCCAGATTACATAGGGTTCGATACAGTGTGATCCATATTGGATATGTTTTGAAACAGGGTGATCCATATTGCATAGGATTTGATACAGGGTGATCCATATTGGATAGGGTGTGATACAATGGGATCCATATTGGATAGGATTCGATACAGAGTGATCCATGTTGGATAGGATTTGATGCAGGGTGATCCAAATTGGATAGGGTGTGATACAACGTGATCAATATTGGATAGGATTTGATACAGGGCGATCCATTTTGGATAGGATTTGATACAGGGCGATCCAAATTGGATAGGATTTGATACAGGGTGATCCATATTGGATAGGATTTGATACAGGGTGATCCATATTGGATAGGATTCGATACAGAGTGATCCATATTGGATAGGATTTGATACAGGGTGATCCATATTGGATAGGATTTGATACAACGTGATCAATATTGGATAGGATTTGATACAGGGTGATCCATATTGGATAGGGTGCGATACAATGGGATCCATATTGGAAATGATTCGATACAGGGTGATCCATATTGGATAGGATTTGATACAGGGTGATCCATATTGGATAGTGTTTATATTCTAAAAATGTTTTTAAAAGATTTGCTTCTAAGAACGTTGATGTCGTATAATTTATTTTTGTGAATCCATAATGAACATAGACAATTCTGCGTAATTAAAAAAATCACTACAAACAAATAGCTGAATTTATTAAAAAAAAGAGGGGTGTTAAATTTTATATATCCTTAATTCAAGCCTAGCTATTATATGATATTACGTTTAAAAAACCATGTATTTACAAAAGGATGTAATGACATGTATCAACTGTGTAGGTCTCACACTAATTAGTTTTGACAATTCGTTAAAAATATATCTAGCCCCGTTTCCTGTCAAATATAATATAATTAAACAATATATTTGAATATATAATCCTTCATCTGCATTGTTATAATGAGTGACTTAATCTGGGGGGGCATTGGGGCTCAGCACCCCCCCTGGACCAGTGAAATCTTTGATTTTTAGGGGATGTAAGAAAAAAAGCCCCAACCCCTGGAAAAAATCCAGAATACGCCCTTGGTTTCAACTAATCTTAATGCTGTCAACTTTGTGTACATGTGTGTACGTACATAAGCAGTCTGATCATATTGCTTTGTGTACATGTGTGTACGTACATAAGCAGTCTGATCATATTGCTTTGTGTACATGTGTGTACGTACATAAGCAGCCTGATCATATTGCTTTGTGTATATGTGTGTACGTACATAAGCAGCCTGATCATATTGCTTTGTGTACATGTGTGTACGTACATAAGCAGTCTAATCATATTGCTTTGATCTTGGGAAATTCTCAAATTAAATATTTAGTATTTGAAATGTTTTACAGAAATAACGTAATTTCTATAGTTTAGCTATAATGAAAAAAATGATTTTACAAAATTCCAGCTGAAAATGCGTGGAGGAGAATTCAACGTTGAAATTTGATGAAAGCATATATGAGTCTTTGCCACAAACAAAAAGTTTCTAATCCTTATATCTTTTCACCCTGATGTTGTGAACCTTTGATATTTCAGACTTAGATTATTTGATCTAAGAGATTTCATAGTTTGAAATATCAAAGATCTACGACATTGGGTTGCAAAGATGTAGGGATTAGAAAATCAGAGTTTGTGACAAAAACTCAGTTCCTTTGAAATACCTAATATCATTGATAGAAAATGCATATAAAAAGCTTACTTTTATTGGTTTCGATTTAACCAAAGGATTAAATTAATTTCTTTTGAATAGTATGATGGCAGCAGAACCCAGCAGGAATAACTATTAAGGAATTGAGAATTTGCTACAACCTCTAATTTTTTTATTCCTTATATCTTTGAAACCCTACTTCGTAGACCTTTGTTATTTCAAACTCTAAATTATGTTAAAATTTAAGTTTGAAATATCAAAGGTCATCATCATCAGGTTACAAAGGGATTAGAAAATTCGATTTTGTGGCAAATACTCAATTCCTTTAGAGGTCAAACCTTATGAAATGTCCTGTCTATGAAATGCCCTATCTACAGTGAAACCCTTAACAACGAATACATCAAAAGAATTCATCAAATGTCGTATTCTTCACTTTCTGATAATGGAATGTTGCAGATATTTAGTTTTTTTAATTAAATGATTTTATGGAGCTCTTTAAAACTGTTCCTGCATTTTCATGTTTATTTATTTATTTTCGCAAATACTGAAATTTACTTAATATAGTATAAAATTCATTAAAAAATTGTCAAGACGACATTTGATAAATTCTTCCAATGTATTTGTTATTAAGGGTTTCACAGTATGAAATGTCCTATCCTATGAAATGTCCTGGAAATGCATTGTCTTTCTATGATATCTCCTTTCTATGAAATGTCCTGTCTACGAAATATCCTATCTATGAAATGTTCTATCTATGAAATGTCCTATTCTATGAAGTGTCCTGTCTATGAAATTTCCTATCGATGAAATGTCCTGGAAATGCATTGTCTTTCCATTATATGTCCTATCCTATGAAATGTCCTGTCTATGAAATGTTTTTATATGAAATGTCCCAACACCATATATATTTCATCCCTTTTTTATCATTGTTACTTTTAATCAGTATTATTATTTTGTACGAAGAAATATATCAAAAAACATACATATATAAATCTCTAGATAATATATATATTTCAAGATTATATATATATTTAAAAGTTTTGAAAAATATTGTGAATATTACTATTAATCCTCTAGTAACAAGGACTGGCGAGCAGCTGCTTTTTTGTTCTAAATCAGTCACTTTTATAATATAATCAATATTATTAAAACCTGTGAAGTCCATGTTGTTTTCATGAAAGAGTCTAGAGGCGTAATTTTATACGTGTCCCTTCAGAGTAATATGTATGTATAATTCAAAACAGTACCAATCAAGAATGACGGAAAAATCAAATTATGAGATATTGAAAAAGTACCTACGTACTTTATCCGCAGAAACGTTTGTAATTGATAATAACCTGGAATGAAAGCATGAACGTTTTGAATTTAAATTGCTCCTGTATAAATGAAACTCTAAAGTTTTTTAAATTAAGCCTTAAAAAACGCACCCCTCGGACAGTTTTTCTCTCTAAATATATTTCATTGATAAATTATTATAAAAGTTTCCTTTTGAACTTTAATACTTCCCGCCATTTTTCTTTCAAACTTCTCCAATCCACCAACAGACCGATGCTAAACAGTATTATTGAAACACTATTATTGCTAACTTCTCCAATCCACCAACAGACCGATGCTAAACAGTATTATTGAAACAGTATTATTGCTAACTTCTTTCAAAATAAACAAAATATCCCAATTTTTGGTATAAAAAATGTAAAATTTAGGACCCAAATGACGGAACATTTAAATTTTTAGATTTTCTTTTGGTTAGTTGTTAAAAACGCTGACAAAATAGGCCTGTAGAGGCAAAATTTAGCTAGCGGCAAAAATTATTTAATAATATTTGAATTATCAATGGCTGTGCACTGAGATAAGATTGACTGACTTATTTGTGTTTTAAATTTCAAAAATAAAGATATTATTTGTATTGAAAAATTGTTGAACAATTCTTTTAACTAAACAAGACTCAAACTAAATATTTTAATCTGCAAGAATAAAGAGAATTTCCAACGTTGAAAATTTTTAAAGAGAATTTTAGATTTATAGTTTGAATTTTAACGAAAGAAATTTTTGAAGAATTTAAAGAATTTTTGTTCACCTTTACTTCTTGGTTTAAAGTATCTTCTCCCGAATTTGTAACACCGTTTAGCCAGTATGTTCTCATCAAACCCTAAATTAACTTTTATACATTTCAAACAACGTTGATCAGGCTTTTTACCTTCATTAAGCTGTATTTATAGTTCTAGCTCAACAGCCCAGTATTATACTAATGGATGCATTATATTCATTATTATTGTCTCTAACAATATAGAAAATTTATTAATCAAAAAGAATTTCGATTTCCAATTTTTCTAGATTCTTGAATTTTCTAAAATTTAGAGAAATGGTTTACCTTTCCCTTTATTTGCATTTCTCCTCTGTCTTCAAGATGAAATATTCCAAACTCTGTCAACAGCTCAGCTGTAGAGGAACTAATGTATTCGTGGATTAATCAGTTGGTTGATTAGCCAGAGCGATAATTGATAAGCTAGTTGATTGATTGATTAATTAGTTGATCAATTGATTAACTAGTTGATTAATCAATTGCTTATATAGTTGACTAATTGATTGATTAGTTAGTTGACTTATTGATTATCTGAGTATTCCTATACCTTAGATGAATTCTAAGAGGTAGACCATTACTCTCCATCCTTGAAGCTGTATTCACAGTATCCCCGAACAAACAGTATCTTAAATATTAAAAATAATTATTACAGTAAGCACCAGAATATCTTGGAATATTTAATAGGGAAAACCCTTTAATATCAACTTGGGGGAGGGGGGCAGGAAAAGGAGTCACGGAGGTTCGTAGTAAGATTTTGACTCCACTGGACACCACCGGAGGGAATTCTTTTTCAATAGAGGGGTTTGAAAAAATGCTTTTAACAATTCAAAACTTTGCGCAGGGTGATTTACATTCCACTGGAGGGATTCAGATGTCCTTCCTGTGGGGTTATAATTCCACTGGAGGGATTCAGTTATTCTTCCTAGGGGTTTATAATTCCACTGGAGGTATAATAAAAATAATAATAATAATAATAATAATAATAATAATAATCTAAAGAATAGTAATAATTGCATGTTGTAGAAATAAGTTGAAATTATCTCTAAAAACTAAAAGATTGTCTAACATTCAAACAAGAAAGTATTAATAATGATTATAATTTATAAAATATTGTTAGTTGAACCTGTATGAAGTCCTATTCTGAGCTGTAGTTTTACTTCAGGTTTATGCCGGATAGTAAACTTCTTAACTTCTTCCAAGATTCTTCACAAAATACTTTTTATTATTCTCAAATCAGACATTTTCTTTTTATTCCCAAATCACATTTAAACCAAAACAGATTTATTTTTGAAATATCAAACTTTGGTATTTTCAAAAATCAAATTTCTTTGACCCTCTTAAATCAACATTAACTCTAAAAGGAAGAGACCGGCAAGGTAACATATGTGAACTAAGAACCTAGTATTATAGAGAACAATTTTAGAATTCAAAAGGAACCATTGAAACGTTTCTACGTTTATTTGATTTCAAAGAAATCAAATGCTTCTCAATCTGGTTAGTCCAGGGTGGATTAGTTTGTAAAATTTTACAAAAAAAGGATCCACAGAAGAAAGTTTTTCCTAAATTATTGACAACCCCGACAAAGCATGTAAGAAAAGGGCAAACATTAAAAAACTTTAGGAGTAAAATTATTCATATATTTATATTTTTTTCATCGTCTTCACTTAATAAAAAGATATAAATACCTGAGAGACATTTTTGCTATCTCACTCGCGTGTTTGTTACCATTAGGTTCTGGTAAACCTACACAAATAAAATCCTCAGAACAAATTTTTATTTTCATTTGCAAAAAGATGGATTTTGGGAGGTAACATTGGGGGAAGGGATCATAAGGGTTGGAAAGGGATCATAGGGGGCGCG